GTACAGCAGGGCCGCCGCGGTCGCGGACAAGGCACCGTGAGGCCGCGGGACCCGGAGCCAGGCGGGGCGGGCCGGGTTGGGAAGCTCGCGGGGCTGGGGCAGAGGCGGCGATCGTCCGCCTGGGAAGTACCGTGCGGAGTGGGACGCGTGCCCGACCCCGGTTCATGGTCTCAAGACATCCTGGAATAGCCCTGGGAGTGGGGCGGGAGGGAGGCTCCCATCAACTCCCGGATTCCTTGAGAAGTGCCAGGTTCACAGATGAACCCCCAGATACCATCCACAGAGAAAAGCCGACTGTGGCCGAAGCAGCACGTGGGAAACATTAGCTATTGAGAACCGAGATTGCCAAGAGGGTCGCCACATCCCCCCGACCCCCAAAGAAAACTGGACTTCGAGAAATGAGAGTCAATAGAGAAAACTCCCAGTGACAGGGAATTGGTGACATTTGACGCGGACCGAACACTAACCGGGGAATCAAATGCATGTGGTGAACCGCAGATGGAAAAGATTTGATCCTGGTGAAAATTATTTCAAGGAGAAAAACGGGGAAAAAGGAAACTTATCTGCACTATGTAGAAAACTGATGAAGGCGTTGAATTGTCCTCAGTGGCATTTGCCTTGAAAATACTTTCTAGGATGAAAATTCATCAGGGTGGATATCATTCTGATGAAAAAGCTTGTGTTCATAAACACAGGGTCAGAGTGTCCACGGGGTCAGTGTGCAAATAAATGCCGGGAAACCCTGCTCTGGGCTGAAGGTAAGACCTTCTCTCCAGGGGAACCCAGGGTTCCGGCAGGTGTTGGGGCAGGTTCTAGGCCTCCGTTGCCATGTTCCCAAGCCCATCGTGGCCCTTTAACGTCCTCATGAGTAAAAGCCTGTGGCTGAAGCAGAGGGCACTTGGGGGTGCTCTCCAAGGTCCAGGAGAGGGGTCCCCCCAGAATGGGCTCGGGGCAGCCCTCCCCCCCCCCCCGGCCTCCCTGGGATCCACCAGCCCTAGGCTTCTCAGATGCTGCCCAGGAGTTGGCACCTTAAGACCCAGGGGTGGTGCTGTCCTGGCCCAGGCTACGGAGGGGAGGGGGGTTGCCCAGGTAGACCCTGCCTTGTGGCTGGGGCTGAGGGAGGAATGTTGGGAACAAGGACTGGGGGCAACAGAAATGCTCTTTACTGCGTTTACCAAATCGTCTGGGGTAGGGCTGTAAGAGCAGCAGCAGTGGCTGATGCCTTGTGGGAAGGTGGGGCTGTGGAGGAGTCGGCCACCCCCGGGCCCCCAAGCACTTCCCGCTCCACCTGACTTCCCACCTGTGGCTGCCTAGTTCCTGCCCCTCTTCCCTCCCTGCTTCTCTTTTACTAACACAGCCTGCTACATTTTACACATGTGTTGGTAAGTGAGAAACAAAAAATGAAAAATAAATTAAAATGAAGAAATACAGTATCCTGTCTTTGTGTTTTCACCTCTGGATTTTGTGTCGTTTCAAAGGAAAACTTTCCTGGTTATTCTAGAGTAAAGAAGTTATCATTCAGGCCCATTGCCCAGTGCTCCCCACCCAGACCCTTCCTTCCAGCCTGAGGCCCTTGGCTGGGGAAGAGATTTATTCAGTAAAACCCTCGTGAGAGGGTAAATGCTTGAGAAAGCCAGTTCTGACATATTGTAAGGATGAGCTTTGCATCAGTTCAGTCCAACTGCAGCCTGGAGCGCTGCAATGGTCACTTCACCACTATTGACCCATCCCTGCCCGGAGACTCCTTGATTGGAAGACTCAACCAGCCAGATCCTCTCAGATCCTGTTTGACATTCTTTTGTCCCCCTGTTCCCCAGCTTCCACAAAAGCCTGTGGCTGAAGCAGAGGGCACTTGGGGGTGCTCTCCAAGGTCCAGGAGAGGGGTCCCCCCAGAATGGGCTCGGGGCAGCCCTCCCCCCCCCCCCGGCCTCCCTGGGATCCACCAGCCCTAGGCTTCTCAGATGCTGCCCAGGAGTTGGCACCTTAAGACCCAGGGGTGGTGCTGTCCTGGCCCAGGCTACGGAGGGGAGGGGGGTTGCCCAGGTAGACCCTGCCTTGTGGCTGGGGCTGAGGGAGGAATGTTGGGAACAAGGACTGGGGGCAACAGAAATGCTCTTTACTGCGTTTACCAAATCGTCTGGGGTAGGGCTGTAAGAGCAGCAGCAGTGGCTGATGCCTTGTGGGAAGGTGGGGCTGTGGAGGAGTCGGCCACCCCCGGGCCCCCAAGCACTTCCCGCTCCACCTGACTTCCCACCTGTGGCTGCCTAGTTCCTGCCCCTCTTCCCTCCCTGCTTCTCTTTTACTAACACAGCCTGCTACATTTTACACATGTGTTGGTAAGTGAGAAACAAAAAATGAAAAATAAATTAAAATGAAGAAATACAGTATCCTGTCTTTGTGTTTTCACCTCTGGATTTTGTGTCGTTTCAAAGGAAAACTTTCCTGGTTATTCTAGAGTAAAGAAGTTATCATTCAGGCCCATTGCCCAGTGCTCCCCACCCAGACCCTTCCTTCCAGCCTGAGGCCCTTGGCTGGGGAAGAGATTTATTCAGTAAAACCCTCATGAGAGGGATGGGGACTGGAGGGTAAATGCTTGAGAAACCCAGTTCTGACATATTGTAAGGATGAGCTTTGCATCAGTTCAGTCCAACTGCAGCCTGGAGCGCTGCAATGGTCACTTCACCACTATTGACCTATCCCTGCCTGGAGACTCCTTGATTGGAAGACTCAACCAGCCAGATCCTCTCAGATCCTGTTTGACATTCTTTTGTCCCCCTGTTCCCCAGCTTTCAGCTCCAGCAGTCTGCACCATTCAACTCTTCTTTGGAGGATGACCCTTCGGCTGCTGGAGCCCTCTGACTCACCTGTGCNGATGTTGACAGTAGTCCTGGGAAGTGGAGCCTAAAGGTGGGATTCTGGGCTTGGGTTACTTGCCCATCAGGTAGCAACATGGACCCCTTTGTGGGTAGTGAGTGGTGGCTGCTGTACTTATGTACCTCTGGCTGCTGTATTGATGAATACATAGGACAGGATACTGGTTGAGGGGACACCCCAGCTCATGCAGTACCTTGAGCACTTGAGATACATGGGAGAAAGGGTTACTATAAGGACTGTGGAATTCATCGGTTCTGCTGAGCACAGTTAATGCCATGATGAAGAAACATGAGAAGTGTCAGGACTGGGACCCTCTGGCTTGGATTGGGTTTATCTGGGTGATGTGCTTAAGGACACTGAGCCCCCACATTCCCCCAACCCTGTAGACCTGAAGAAGTGGCCCATTTTCCCTTGCTAAAGATAGCTTTCCACCCCCCAACCCCCACCTTGCCTGAAGACCATGCAGAGGCCACTGAGGTAGATGTCTTCTAAGGCAATACTTGTTCTCCTTGAGGTCTGCCCCCATCTCTCTTCCTGGTCACTAGACCTATAACAAGGTTTTAGTCCAAGCATGGCCTGGCTGGGGCAGTGCTGACTCTGAGAAGGGAGGAAAGGGATTGTTCACCAAGGGAGCTGCAAGACCTGGCTAACGTGCATCTGCAGGAAGCAGTAGAACAGGCCTGAGACAGATGCTCCCTCCACTAAAGAGATCAGGAATGTGTAGGCGAGGGGCACTGGCCTCAGCGAGAAGCTCGGCAGTGGCTCTTCTCTGTGGGTAGACCAGGGCTGACACTAGAGGTGCTGTCATGAAACTGGACTCCCTTGTGTCAATGGGAATGGCAGGATCCCAGAGTAACCGGGGACAAGATAGACATAATTACTGAAATGGCAGTAAGGTTGGAATGGCAACCTGGAGGCCCAGTCCCGAGGGGGTCTATTGTGATGGGTAATAAACCAGAGTGTTCCCAAGGGCAAGAGAGCAGCGCCAACAAGGCTATTGCTTGACTTCTATATCCCCCCAAAAGAGGTCAAGTGGTGTTCTTGAAGGCCACTGTCAGCTTTCTCAATGGAAAGCCACAATCTCTTTCCTAGTTTCCAGACTG